TGTGCAGGGGCCTGAAGATGTGCTCCTTGCTGAGGGTCTTCCTGTGCCTGTGTTCTGCACAGCTGTATTCTAGACTCGCAGCTCTTGTGGCCATTGCAGTGTATGCTGGAACCTTCCTATGGAGAGCATCCACATGGACCCAGCAGTGCCTGGCGGTCCTGAGAGCACAGTGACCTCATGATGGCCAAGGTGTTTGCTGCAGTGCCGTCTTACAACACCTGCTGGGATTTGTGAGCCATACAGAGGCAGATTCCCTGATTTGTTGCCATGTCATAAGGATTTAAGATTGAGGAGCTCTTTGAAGCATCGATACAGCATGTTCTGCAGTGACAAGATGGAGACGAGCACTTTTGTGGCTTTCCTTCCCCTTCCTCAGGGAAAACACTCTTTCGCACAGATCACAAGCGTGGACTCTGCTGGCGTTTGAAGAGACCAGGGGAATTGCAGAGACCAGCTCTTGGTACAGCATCAAAGGCTGCCTGCCTGAAGCACAGGTGCTCAGGAACCCGAACTCAGCGTCCTTCATGTCTGGGCAGCAAAAGGAAAGAAGGTCTCTGAGCCTGGAGTCACTCGGTGGATCAAAGCTCTGCGTAGAGGAGGCTGATAAGGCGAAAAGCAAGACTGCATGGGAAGGTCAGAGCTGTGTAGATGGTGAGGGCTGTCTGGTAATGCATTGTTCTCCCAGGGGGATCTGTAAAACTGCTGATCACTGAGTGCTCAGTCTGCATCTGCCTCATGGGGTGCCGTGGGTGCGCTGGGTTCGGGGCGATTCTGCGGCACCCGAGCGATTGCTCCAAGTGTTTTCTGGAAGAAGAGCTGGAGGGGCTGTGACAGCTGTGAGGCAGTGATAGCTATAATTAAAAGGATGCTGCACTGTCGTATTTTGATCTGTTTTTTCCATGCATCGCTGTAAGAAACACCTAAAATAGCTCCATCTGACAAGAGATCAGAGAAGAAAAGTATTTTTAAGTTGTGGACTTTTTGCAGTTGATGGTGCATTGTGTGCAGGCAGTTTCCTTCCTTCTTCCCTGATCTTTTTTATTATGCTTCAAATGGAGCCCAGGAACCAGCAGAGAGCGGAGCATCCTGATCCTCGTGGTGGTGTCAGCACCTGTCTGTCTGTAGGCACCTCACAGGCAGGAAGGCAAGGAACATCCCCAAAGTGGAGGTGGCAGGTGATGGAGAACCTGAAAGGGGAGGAGTTACCTTCTCTTTCAGCTTCCCCTGTCTATGACTTTAGTTCTACATTTGCAGTCTTTGCAGCTCTTTGCAATTTTATTTTTTTTCCTTAAAAAAAAAAAAAAAAAAAATTGCTTAACGAATGTTGCCTGCTGCTGACTTGTTATTTCATCCAGGTGGGAAATGCCTCAATGGGAGCATGGGAACCATGTGCAGGTGGCTTCTGTACTGACTGCACCAGAGCTGTGCAGGGGTAGCAGCTGTGGTGATCAGTGTGCAGGCTGGCACATGCTCTTATGATATTAGCATTGCTCATTTCTTATCTTTTAACCGAGTTTCTTCATTGAGAAGGCAATATCTGAAGAGGGAAAGGGGATTATTACTCAGTGCGAGAGCCATGAGAGTGAATGTGGAAAGCACAGAAGGCTGTTCCCAGACAGGCTGGGAATGCCCGGCCCTGAGAGCTGCCTGGTGCGGTTTCCTTCATGTTGGAAAGAGCCCCAGTTCTCCAACATGAGCTCTCTGGAGTGCTGAGTCTGAGCTGAGGCAAGTAGGAGCTGATGGAAATGATAGGTACGACTAGGATGGAAAAACCACTCAATCTTGAGCAGTGCGTGGGGAACTGCAGCAAGGAACAGGAGAAGGGAACAGGCACAGGCAAAAGGAGGGGCATTTTTGGCTGATGTTTGGGAGGCAGAGGGGTGCTGTTTGTTGTGACAGGTTTGGCAGAGGGTTTTGGCACAGGCAGTGGTGAGCAGCACAGCAGCTTGGAGCACAGACTGTGCAGTGTGAGGTGCAGCTCCTCCAGCATTCATCTTCAGGAAGATGTTTGTCCCAAAGGTTGTCTGTGTTTCTCCTCTCTTTGGGCAAGTCCTAAGCTGGTAGAAATGCATGCTCCTGTGCTCTGATTCAATCTTTAGCCCTGACAGTGCTGAGTGAGAACATCAGGCGTGTGTGCAGGCAGGCAGGCACAGAGCTGTCGTAACGTTGAATACATTTGTTATTTATCAATAATAAATGACAAATTCAGTTCTCTGATCTCTGAGGTGTGTTCTGGTTCTGCACGCTCCACGCAGCGCTGTGCAGCAGGCCAGACCCTCTGTAGTTGCTGTTAATGAGCTGTGGGCTGGCACAGGGCATACCACAGCCCTGCTCGGGCTTCAGGCACCCAGAGAATGAAGCTATGCCCTTGCCCTGTGCAGAGCTGCATTTTCTGCGGATGCTGAAGTTTCTGAATGAATTTATGAAGTAAATTTAATAAATAGACTAAATGATGTTCAGTGTTAAAGTGTATGCCATTTATATAAACAGTGCTATTTAAGTAACTAATTAGGTTTCAAAGAATGCTCCTGCTTAGGGCTGTCAGTGTTGCAGATGTGTCTGCTGGGATCATCGGGATGATGGAGCTGAGCAGCAGCTTCCATCACTTGCTTCAGCACTTCTCTCTGTCATCCTCAGCATCACCGTGTGCTGGGCATCAGTACTGCACATGGTGGTGAGTGTGTCACACTGTGCTGTGGTCGCAGACAGAGCAGTGCAGGCTTTATCTGTGAATATGGTATGATAGCAGTAAATACAGCAGCAGGAAGTAATGTGACAACTTGGATGAAAAATTAGATAATGAGGTTTTAGTGTGGTGAGAAGCTTTGGCTTTGGGGATGCTCATTCCCCAGAATGCAGCCGAGGAGGAGCAGTTACAGAAAGTAAACTGGAGATTTCTTTCACCTCCTTGGCTGTCCCAGGCAGTGCTGGGTCAGGAGGACTGATGCCTTACAGACCTCTGCTCTGAACCTGAGTGCCTGCAGTGCTGGAGAGATTCCCTCTCTGCTCTCAGTTATGTTGGTGTAGGGCAGAGCAGAGTTAAGTGGTATTGTAGCTGTTAGAGGGTTGGACTGCTAATGTTAGCTGAAGGCTAGGCCTGCAGGGGCTATTCGTATTTATTGTTGTACATTATTAATAGTGGCTGTAAAGATTGCATGATGCAACAGTGGGTGCCAGGCTGTGTAAGCACACACTTCTGCTGTGGTTGTCCTTGTCTTCCCTGTACAACTTTGCTTGTGGGACAGCGCAGGATGAAGTGCAGAGCTTCTGTGGGGTGTCTGCAGCAGCCTGGCAGCCAGCCCTTCTGGGGCACGGCGTGGGACAGAGCTTGGTGGAGCTCTCTGATCCTCCTGGCTGCCCTGCCATCAACTGTCCAAGTCCCACATTCTGCAGACCTGTGCCCAGAGATCTCTTGTGTCCTGCGTTGGTTCTGTCCTTGCCAGGTTCCATGCAGAAGGGAGGTTTCAGCCAAGCATCTGGGACTTGAGTTTCCCTGCGAGGTCCATCCAGAGAGAAGTTACCCAAGTGACCTCATGGCTGATTTACAGCCTTTTGGACTCAACGTTTCTCTCCATGTTGTCGTCCAAATTCAGACCCACTGAAGAGGAGGACTTGCTGTCCCAGGGCAATCTGTGCCCGAGCAGCAGAGTCCCTCTGTTACTTACTTGTGTAAACCTAGAAGCACAGCCTCCTTGCTGTGTGGGCTCTCTGTAGGCTGCAGATATGGCAAGGTGTTCCCACTACCTCTTCCTTGCGTAGGAGTGCTTTCAACACACCCAGCACAGTCCTGGTAGGAGTAAGTGATGAGGAGCACGCAAGAAGAATAAATGTTTTAGAAGTGGTTTGTTAAGTGATATCAATAGGACTATCTGTACTTCATTCCATCCTGAAGTCTGGCACGGGGTGAGGTGTTTGCAGGCTGTGCGTGCTGTCCTGCTAGCTGTGTGTGAGGCACTGTGCTGAGGTTGCCCCTCTGGTGGGGGCTGGTGGCTGTCAGAGCGGTGGGGCTCTGCACGGAGCTGGGGACGTCACAGTGTCTCATTGGGATGAGATTGTTGACGTTATAACGTTGGTTTTATGCAGAAGGAAGCTTTACTCCTGCTTCCTTTTGGGAGTGCTGCTGCTCAGGACCTGTCTGCTGAAGAGGCTTTGGGCATGTTCCAGCAAGGGAGGATTTGTGCAAATTCCAGCAGCCGTCTTGCAAAGGCAGGGAATGAAGTTTAGTTGCCCCTTGAGGTTCTTGCAGCTTCTTGCTCTTCGGCTGGCATCTTCCTACTGAGTCCTCCATGCTGGAATGCACTGCAGGTTGCCACTGGCACGCAGGCATGTTTAGAAGTCAGCACCTTTTCTCTCTTATAAGAGCCTCTGGGTTCTTAATACAGGCAGATTGTTTCCTCGTGGCTCCCATCTTGGTGATATCCAAGAAATCCTGTGCTTGATGTCAGAGGGTGGAGAGCTGAGGTGGAGCATCAGAGCTGTGATCTGCTAAGCAGATACACGATCCCTTGGGCTGTGTCCCCCAAGAGACAGGTGTTTGTAGGCTGCTCTGTCTTATCCTGGTCACAAGAGAATGGTATTTGCAGTAGGACCCCACATGTCTGTTTGGGGGTGAGGGCTGTGCCCACTGGATTGAAGCAAAGCACTGTGAGAGGACAGCAGTGTTCTCTGGATACCTGACAACAAAGTGACAGCAAACCGAATGCTGGGTCTCAGTGATCTTACTGGAGCAGTGGGACTTACTACAGAACATCTATTTCTAAGCAAAGTACAAATGATTTAAACGTGAGCACAATAAGCAAAATGCGAACCATTCAAACATGAGCATACTAAATGAAACACAAACAGTTTAAGCACGGGCGTACTGAAGCAGAGGATAAGTACACTTGTCAAATTGACAAGGGATGGTACTTTTATGATTAATCTCACCCACTGATGAGCCACAGTTGAGGATGCTGTCGACCTCTCATATTCTGTCTGATGACATCAGACTTCTCTGCCAGGCAGCACCCCTGGACCAGCTGGCAGGAGCTACTCTGAACTGGGAGCTGCTCTTCCTGGCTGATAGGAGAGCAGCAGTGTGGAGGCCGAAGGCTGCTGGTCCATGAGTTGCAGGCTGTTGACTGGTGAGTAGCTTACCTGTGCCACTGAGGAGGACCTTACCCAGGCCACTCTGAGCAACTGAGTCGGTCAGCACAACTGTGTCACCTGTGAGCAGTCTGTTGATGCCTTTAAGGAGCAGCGTGTGATACATGACAGATTTCTTAAATTGCTGTGTAAATTGTTGATTGGCACCTTACAGGAGCATCCCTTTGTTCTATGGCAGACCTGAGGAAAGGAGCGTCCTGCCACATATGCAGCACTGGCAGAACGTGTTGTGTCACTTTGGTTGTCCACAGATGTCTCCTCTCATTCACTAAGGCTGCATTTCAGATAAAACCTTCCTCTTCCTCCTGTCCGTGCAGCTGCACGGCTTGTCAGAAGAGGAGGGACTGCAAACCCTGGGCTGCTTCTGAGACATCTCTCTGCTCCTCCGCTCTTCAGCAAATCAACAGAAATGGGTGCTCCCTGTGGATCTGGGAACCCTATTGCTCAGAGAAAGAAAATTTTAGGTTGGATCAGCTGAATTTCCTTTTCTTTCTCTGTTGTGTTTCTACGTCACCTTGCATGTCACGCTGGCCTTGGCCACGGATGCAGCCTCATTGAAACAATACTGTGTTTGAACAAGGATCTTGTAACTTGGCACTGCAGCATCTGCTGTCCTGAGTGCATCTCCTCAGTCCAGCATCCCCATTTACACAGCTGTCTTTAAAACAATTTTGTGAACTGTTTATTACTGGCAGTCAAACTTTGGCTTGAACCTGAGTGCTGGGTGCTTAGCGCGTGTCACCAGTTCAGCCGCAGGGTTGCTGGGATGTGTTCCTCGGTGCCTTTCATTGTTTGATCGCGCTCCCTGCTGCCTTCTGCTCAGCAAGAGGAACTTTATATACATTTCTGCTTGTAGACACAAAGTGCTATGGGTCCATTTCCTTATCACTGGTCTCAATGAAGGCTGACTGCACAGGTACCGAGCCTGAAACTAGTAAATTTTCACACTGTTTTGTCAGGCTTACAATTCCCATGCTGCACCCTTGATCCCTAGATGAGAACAAGGATTAGCTTATTGTTATTGCTTCCTCTTGGCCATAAAACAGAGCACGGGCTGGGGAGCTCTCTGAGATGTTTGTGTGCTCTTATGAAGCAGCTGATCAGAATTCAGATGAGGCTTTGGATAGATTTATTGAAGTGACACAGTGTGCGCGGTACACGCTTTGAGTTAGGACATGAAAGAGTGGTGCATTCCCAGCAGCAGAAGGCATTAATGAAATATGTTCCTGTTACTGACTTCCTTTGAACTGTCACCTATGACTACAGCAACTGCATTTGCGGGGCTGCGCAGCACTTACTGATGTGCAGCTAGCGAGTGAAATGAGTAAAACATCTCCTGCAGCAGAGAAGGCAGTGGGGATGTTAGGGCTTCTGCAGCCACTGGTGCAGGGAGCTCCTCTGGAGCTGTGGGGCACAACTGCTCTGTGCTGCAAAGCTGGTGGCCAGCTGTGGCACAGGCACACTGCCTGCTGTTACGAGGGGATGCTGCCAGCAGCTGGCACCTCTTTGAGGGTGGCCCTTTGCTCTTCCCCAATGACACGATTTTTACCCACAAGAAGAGGAGGATTGAAAATAACGCCCTGCTCCTTGCCAGGGGAATTGGCAGGGGTGGGCATCCTGCAGCTGTGATAGTACTGATCGGCCACAGCTGTATGGGGTGCTGCTGCATCCCAAAATGACATCTGTAAATCAGGGCCAGCGCTCTCTGTGCAGGTGGGGTCACAGTTACCATTCCTTCTGCTTTGCCAGCTGCAGGGCTGTGTCCAGAAATGCTTTGTATGCATGTAACACTCCATTTGGAAGCTCTCTCACACTGTCTGCTTATGTCTGCCTTATAACGAGGTGTGAGCTTGCATGGGCTTCTCTCCAGGAGCTTCAAACCCCCAGGTTTCACATGGTAGCTCCTCCTGCCTACCTGGGACCCAGGCCGGCTGCTAATTGTTGTGCAGATGTCGTGTTCCAGGCAAGCATGAGGTTGTAGGCTTTAAAGAGGCTGTGCTGTCACTTGCTACCAGCCTCCTCGGTACACGTGAGCTCTATTTATATGGGAGTGCGCATTTTCTTTCAACCACTGCTTTGTTGAATTTCTTCTTTTCTCTTTTTGTTTCCAGACTTGCAGGTGAAATGTTCAGGATACATCAATTTTTCATTATCCCAGCTTTGCCACTTTTTTTTTTTTTTTTTGCCACTAATATTAGGAGAACAACCTGTTTCTTATGTAACAAATCAGCAGTTTCTTCTGAGGTGAGCAGGGGGGAACCTTTTTGTTTTGGTCAGTCTGCGGTCCTGAGTGTGGCATTGGCTAGAAGGACACGCATGCTTGCTGAGAGCTGATGGATTTTGAGCCCACAAGTACTTCTGTGGGTTTTAGTTGTAGCTATGTTGCATTTGGCAGCATCCTAAGCGAGAAGTGTGGATTTTGGCCACAGGTTGACTTTGCTACCTTCCTTGGTGTGATTCTTTGCCTTGTTAGAAATGAGGAGACTATCAAAGAAAGGTACTGGCCTACATCTACTCCAAAAGCAATTACACAAGTTCATGGGTGGGGAAGAACATTAAAAAAGTAATTCCACTGTGGGCTGGTGAGCTTTCAAGATAGAAGCTGCTGTTCCTTGTCCTTCTCCTTTGGCAGGAGCCGGTGTCAGGTGCACCTGTGGTTCCCCAGCATCCAGGCTTCCTGCAGGCCAGGTGGAATGGAGTAGCAGCTTTCATGGGCCCAGACTCGGGCAGGTGCCAGTTCAGGTGTAAGCCTCGCTGGCATCAGGGAAGGTTTGGCTGAGGAAAGAGCTGATGGATTTGGTCCTGACAGCTCTGTTTAATTTATTTTTGATTTTGTGGAAGTAGAAGGTGGTTGCGCAAAGGAGAAAAAAACTGTGATGCTATTTGCCATCCTGATGGACAACAGAGGGAGAAAGATATTTAGGACTGCATGTATGGGAGGAAATTCTTTAAAACCTGGATAGGAGTAGGAGCGGGCTTGATGGAGGGATGAGTAATGAAGGAGTGTTTGAACGGAACTAATCAGTCCCATCTTCTTTCAAAAGACCTCATTTAGTTTAATTTAGCAGCGTGTAAATTTAGAGCCAATCAAAGGAAATGCTTCTCCAGCCTGCATGCTGGCAGCCTGCTCCCCTCCCCACCCAGCGCGAGGACAGGCGGGCTGAGCTGCACGCTGCCTTGCTGTGAGCGTGGCTGTTCCTTTAATGGGTAAATAAACCTGCAGCTCTGCACTAGGCTGGCTAGTGGCCTGCTTCTGCCCAGAGCCCATGTGCTTGCTGTGTGGGTGCCCTGTCCCTCCAGCACGAGCAGAGCCAGCCCCGGTGCACGCAGTGGGAAGGCCAGCACCAGGGCAGGCGGGGAAGCCTGGTGCTGTAGGAACTGCTGAGTAAATCTTGTTCATCTCTGCAAAATATTGTAAACAAACTGTAGCAGGACCACAACTGAGTTCTGTTTTTCCTGGTAGTCTCTTCATATTTTCCAGGAGACGTCAGCCCCTGCAGGGTCAGTGCAGAGTGCTTTGTCATTACCTGCCATAAACTCCATTAGCAGCAAAGTCGGCACCCTGTGCTTTGTGTTCCCCTGGACGAGATCCGTGAGCTGACACCTAGGTCTGGTGTGTCCTGCCACCTCACAGCCCTGAACCTGTGCAGTGGTGAACAATATTGTGTAAAGAACGCTGAAACCTGTGAAAATTTGTTCTAAAGTATTCTTGGTTTTGTTTTCCTTTGCTTTGCAGGTGAGTGGCAATGTCTCACTGGGCCAGATTCCCCTGCGCTGTTGCCAGAGTCAGCCTGCTGCTCCTACTGCTTTCTGCAGTGTTTTTCTGGTCAAGCCTAAGCGACAGAATTCCTGTAAGTGTGTGGATACTGGGTTTGCAGAGGGTTGTTCAGCCTCTCTGGTGGGGTCACACCTCCCTTGGTCATGGTGTAATGTCACATGGAGTCTGACAGCAGTTGGTCTGTTGCTGCTCCCCTCCTCAATAGCTGATCAATAACAACGTTTCAGAAGGGCTTTCTTGAAACTTTGCCTCGGCCTCAGGAATTGCACTGTAATGTCAGTTAAAAGGGTTTGCAAAGGGAGCTGTGCTCTTGGGCAGCTCTCTCATTTGCTGGGTGTCACTGTTTCTATTTGGGGCTGTCGCATGTTCCTCCATGCCAAGAGCCAGAGCTAATGATGTGGTCTAGTGGCAAGAGGAGATGGCTTCAGTTATTCTGCTAGCTGTGCCTCTGTTGAGTCACTGCAAGTGAGTCAGGTTTAGAAGAGCACCCTCTTGGGTCCTCATATCTCACTTGCCCACATTTTGCTACTTGTGGTATTTTGAAGCTGTGGCTGTGGTGGGTGGAAGCTTTCTGCCCTTTGCATTTGTCCAGGTATGCAGAATTACACCCATTCTGCTTCTAAGCCCGGGTGCCCAGCCCTGCCAGATCAGATCTGGGAGGTTTCCTCGAGGTGCTTGCACAAAGGACACTCTGTAGCAGTGCAGAGTGAAGTTTTGTTTGTTTGGATGTTTGATTTTGTGTGTGGGTTTTTATTTAGCTTAATTTATGCTGTGGCTTAAAATTGATTTCTGCAGCAACACCCACAGGGGATTACTGGCCTCCCATGTCCCTGGATGCTCACTCCTGCCTAATGTGTCGCAGCTTGCTGGTCTGTTGGTTGCGTGGGCTGTGCTATTAACCGGAGCATATGTGAGGGGCAGAATAAAGTATGTGCTGTGCAGGCCTAGGATCCATGTGGAGTCAGGTACTGATGTGATAATTTGTCTTCGCTGCAGAGAGGGCAGGGAAGAGGCTGGAGGTGGAGTGTAGTCAGCTCAGCTGTAGCAAAAAGCTGGGGAACGGGTGTTGGGACCACCAGTGCACCTGCCTGAGCTGGCAGGCAGCCTGACGTGGAGGATCACGAGTCCCATCAGCTCAGTAGGTCGTTACTTTTTGGATCCCCTTTTCCTGTGCTCCCTTTGCATCGGCTCTGTGGTGGCTGCATCCCTGAGAACAAGCTGCAGGTTGTCTCAGCTGTCCCTGCCGAGGGTCCTCAGCTTACTGTAGTGGATTCAGACTGATCCAAGGAAGGAGGATTTTTTACAGCTTTAAGGAAATTTCCATTGGTCTTTAGAAAACATCTTTCTTCTTCTTAATTGTGAAAACAAACCAAAAAGGATTCTGCATAACGATGTGGTTTGTCACTGCATAAATGGAGGCTTGTGTGGCATTGCCTTTTTTCACCACTCTGGAGATGTTAATGACACACAGGGTATTGCAAAGCAGTTTGGGGCCAAACTCTGACAGTTACATTTGAGCAGGCTGAGACCCGTCCTCTTGCCCATCTAGAACATTTAGACCACGGCTCTTCTGCTGAGCAGAGGCCGTAAACATCAGCCATCTCCATTAAGTGTTTCAACAGATACAGCAGTCAGAGGCCTGTCAGTGAATTTACAATGGGCTGGATGGGTAAGTCCCTCTTGGATAATAATACAGCAGTGCAAACAAGCTAAGTAATAACTGCGCTCACTCATTCATTTCGGTCCTGTTGAGTCTGGGCTCAGAAAATGTTAACATTGATTTTCATCAGTAGAATCTGGCTTTTTATGTTTATGATTGTTACTGAGCTTTAACCATTTGTCATAATCTTAACAATTTCAAGCCTTTAATGCACTGAGCGAAAGCAGGAGTTAAGCTCTGTTTTTCCAGTGGATTTCTGAAGTTTCAATCCCTTTTGACAGGCAAAATAGAAGCATTCTATAGATTTGTCAACCATTCTAATGTGTTACCACTATCATGGCTAATTGGATGTGTTTTGCTCAGACTGCTGTTTCTCTCGCTCGGAAACACTCTCCTTGACCTGATAATATTTATATGCAAAGCATCCAGATTCTGCCAGCAAACATACACTCTTTTTTCCAAGGAGTGAAAGGAGTGAAGGCAGAACATGGCCTGAAACTTCCAGTTAACCTCTTAATTATCTTGTTTTTTCTTTCCCCTCTGTGAAAATATTGTAAGATTTAATATCACAACACTTCATGAAGTGAGCTGGCTGTAACTCTTACTCTAATTGCCAACAATTAGGAATTGTCTTTCCCTATGGACTGGTTATTTGAAATCATTCTGCGGTGCCATTCTTGGCCGTATCAGAAGCAGATAATGCTCCCTGCAATGGAAACAGAGCTATCTGGATGGTTAGCCTGGACTGGGTTATCTGTTCCTGTGAGAACCAGAACAGCAAAACCCAGCTTCCCAAGCACTTAATAGTCTGCTGTGAGATAGTATGGGGCTGTTACTTGCTGTGCACTCTGAATAATTTTGTCCTTTGAGGTTTGTGGTGACTCCCACCAGCTCCCTAGGGAGACCTTGTAGTGAATACTGAGCTTTCCCTAGGGGGCAAGGATTTTTTTTCCTGCTTTTCATCCCTGTTTTTTCCTTTGTACAACTCCATGCCCCTCCTGCTAACTGTTCTACCACACTTCTGTGTCCACGTGCAGCAGTTGCAAGGTGAGTGGTGTGTAGATCACTGCCTCATAGTTTGAAAGGGCTTGTAAGGCACTTGGGGTGTGCAAAGAGAAGGATGCTCGTGTCTTCGTTGCACAGGCTGGCCGGTGTGTTTTCATGTGTCCTATTTTGGAAACAGCTGAACTATTTTGGTTGAAATCGTCTCCAAGCCTGAAATAAGTGCATTTAAGGGGAAAAAAAAAAAAATAAATGCTTGAGGCGTTCCAGTAGTGTGGAAAATTTCAGCTGAAAAAGTTTGAAGTTTGACATATTTTTAGGCAAGGGAAAACAGGGTCCTACCATGTTACACAAGGCCTAATAATAGTCAGGGCTCGTGGCTCCAGCCAGAAGATAGGTGAGGCTCTGCAGAAGCTTGTTTTAAGCCTGCAGCCTGCACTGGAATAGGAAATAAGCTGCGTTGCTTTGTTCAGCACAAATGTCATGCTAGTTATGCATGTTTAACCTTTAATATACTTTAAATCTAAATTTAACCATGTGGAAAGAATCTCGGATGTCAAAAAAAAAAATCTGCTGGCGAGGGAAAAATTTGGTATTCTCAGCCGGCACTGAATTAGCCAGATGCGATTGCTAATGAGCTGAATCTCTTCTGTCCAAAAGGAATTTGCCCTTACGAAAATAGAAGAGAGCGACACGAGAGATGGCAGCGGGAAAGAGCCAATAGCAGATGATGGCGCTGATCCCGAGGACCTGGAAGTGTTTTACCCGACGCGTCAGTGGCAGGCTGTCCGTCCAGGTAACGCTGGTGACTAATTGTAGTGTCCCCCTGAAACCTCATCTGACACCTCCGACAGCAGCCGTGCAGAAAAACTAAAAATACCTATTTGTTCCCATGACGATGTATTCTTCTGCTACTGTTCAGACGGGGAGGAAACGGACCCAGTGACCCAGTACAGAGAAAAGCCACCATCACCAAACCGGCAACAAGAGTGGCTGCTAAAGTGCTTTCAGTTCAGCAGAGCAGGTCGAGCGGGCTGCCGGTCACGTTGTAGGTGGTGACGTGTCTCGGTCACTAGCTCCAAAGCCCTTTCTCTCTTTGTGCGCTTGTCAAGACTCAAATTTTATAGCATTTGCTGGCACGCGGTACCTCAGGTCTGCTGCGCTCCAGTGTGGGCTGATGACACGCAGCTCGGTGGCAGTCTGATTAAGAATTGTCACTGTAACACTACACAGCTTCTTAACAATGGGATTTCTGTTCCTTAGCTGAATGAACCACGGCTTCTATTCCTCAAATCTTAACCCATGCATCCCACAAAAAAAATCTCGTCAGTTATTTTGAGTTGGTATCTTTTGTTAGACATTATGGGACGACGTGTATGAGAAGGCACCAACCGAGCAGGCTGCTTCACTGCAAATCCTGTGCTGTGGGCAAGGCTTTGCAGAGGATAAGCCCATTTAAACACGTGGAAATGCACGAGTGCACCCACTTTGGTAATTAGGACGATCATTAAGTAAACTCGGTGGTTTTGGCCAAGGTGTTTAACCCACTTGTGCACTGGTGTCCTCATGTGTGCACAATGTGCCATCGCACCTCAGAAGCATGGACTAAGCAGTAATTAATTTTTATGAAGTGCTCCTAATTTCTAAGAACTCTATTCAGCGTACAGTATTATTATTGAAAGAACAAACATGGGATCCATTTATCTTGAAATTTCTGCCAGTTAGAGCAAGATTACCTTTCAAATACAAGTCTTTCTCTAACAGAAATGTCTAGCAAAAACCCCTAAATTTATCAAAGCTGCACTGTACACTTAGATTTCATTTCTATACCATTATGTATGGAAGGCATGTGGTGTCCCTGCTCAGTATGCAGACTGGCAGATCCCTACCACCCTTGCTGAAGCAGAATATGGATATACTTGCAGTCATTATAAATGTCATTGCCGTTTTTGTTCAGAAGTACCTTCTCCATTGCTTGGGTGTTTTGTTCCATTTTATTTTTGTAGAAATTCCACATTAGGTATGTGCAGTGAAGGACTTATGGAAGCAGAGCACTTGTCAGCTGTAGGGAAAGAATTTCAATTACTGCCGTAAAAAGGCTTAAATGGTGGCCTGCTCGTGACAGATTCTCATTACAGGTATGTGTGCAGGCTTTGGTCAGAAACAACAGGATAAAAGGAGTCTTCTCTGGCAGCCTCCTGCCAGCCTATTTTTTGCCTGCTGCAGGTTTGGCTGAAGTGAAATCTTGTGGTGGCCGTGTGCTTGTGTTGTTAGCACATGTTCTGCTCATTCCACAGAGGGATGCGGGCTGGCAGTGTGACCAGTCCAGCAGCTCTGCACGTTCCTTGTTTCCTGACATGATTCCTGTGTCCATAGCTGCGTGCCCGGCTGGCTGCTGCAACTGCTGTGTGCTCGGCGCTGCCCAGGGGAGGCTGCAGCCAAACACTCCAACTCTGCTGTCCTCTGCCCGGCTCTGGGATGACCCCCTGCTGCCCTCCATTGCTATCTGTGTAGCGACCTGTGTCCTTCTTTGCCAGAGGGAGCAAATGTCACTCACACTCTGGATCTTCAATTTTAAATAGAAGAGAGGTCAGGGTCCCGTTGCCCCTTGTTGCGTTCGTTTTCCATCTCGTTCCTGTTCTGAGCTCAGTGCAGGGTTTTTATGCTCGTGTCCGGTCCCACGGCTGCTCAAATTTTATACTGTATTGCCGGTTTTATTCTGCTGCTTTTCTTGTTCCTTTTTGCTAATTGCGTCAAACCGCATTTCCACCGAGACTGCAGCAGTGTCATCAACCTGTAACCTGTCAAATCTCTCCACGAAATTCAATTGTTATTGTATATGTAACACTGCTTTGTACAGTTGTTCCCTCGCTGCCTAAAATGTGAGCTGGGTTTTGATCAAGTTCTACCTTGTGCTTTGTGCACGCTTCAAGCTGCTGGAGGTAGCTGGATGCAAACACGGAGAGACAGTTACCCAAAGAGCTCTGCCTCCTGCAATCGGGAAGCTGGGAGATCAGCTGTCTCCTCTGCCAGCAGGCCGGGCAGCTGACGAGCTGCAGGTTGGTGAAACTTCACCAAGTCCTTTAACGCATTTGTTAGGCGTTGCTTCTTTTGCACATGGTACTGAATAATAGAGCAGGCGCTGCTGGGCTAGGCACAAAGGATACGTGCCCCGTCAGACGTCTCCCGGCTCCTCCACGTGTCTTTCTGGTATCACCTAGGGAGATGATGAAGATGTCCGCAGGGCTTTTCTCTCTGTTTGTGGTTTGCATCTTTCAGAACTTGCGGGCTGCTTGGATTTTAATGAGTGGCATTGCAGTGTTCTTGGAATGAGTATTCACGCTGGTGACTGCATCATGTCCCATCTCAAGTTCCATCACAGAGCAGAATTTTATTTTTGAAATGCTTCTTCTAATTTTTCTGTTCTAACTGCACTTTTAGCAGATAATGGTACCCTTATGAACTCAAAGCTCTCTGGAGAAACCTGCAGAAGTGACCTGCTTTTGTTTCTTGTATTGAGCTCTTCCAAGTGCATGGAGGCGAGTCTGTCAGCATGCAGGAGCACCCTATTTCCATGCTTTTCAAGGCATTCTTTGTTGATTGGTGTAACCAAAACCTGATCCTTAGTCTTTGCGATGTCAGAGACGACTGGAAGCTTTTGGATGGGGTTCTTGTTAAAGAAGTGGGGACCATTTCTTGTGTATGTGTGGGTGGCCATGATGGTGAGGCTGCCCTTGAGATTATTATTGTCATGGCCCTTCTGCTCTGCTGTATCACACTGATCAATTTTTTGGACTCTTGTGTGTAAATGCATTCGTATGCCATGTTCCCATGCAGCCTCAGCACAGCATTCTAAAGCACATTAATACTTCATTTACAAAGCATTACCTGTTTTTGTCATTTGGGCGCCCTGTTTCCTTCTTCTTTGTTAAAAAGCTATTCCTTCTGATGGATGAAAATTGGGTTGCTCTGATTATCTAATCACATCACCAAGCAGCAGTTTTTCCACTTGACATTAGCATCAGAAGTTGCTCCTCAGGGAAGGCATTGCAGCAAAAAAATGTACTGGCAACTCTGTAAAGAATCACTTTATTAGATACCTAAATGCCAGGAAACCTAATGTGTAATTTTGAGTGCCCGTGCTGGTTTATACCAAAGGTTGTCCAGTCCAGCATCTCATCTTGGCCATCGCAAGTGGAAGTGCCTGGGGCAGACTAAGGGCAGTGGATGTGTGTAATGCTGTGCCTTGTACTTCCAGAAGCTGCCTCTGGTTCCAGGGCTGTGTGGAGCAGAGCTGAGATCTTTCTGGGCTGGTTTCAGTGGTTTGCTGCTTTTCTGTTTCCTTCTTGCATTCACAACCACTCAGGTTTTCAGGTTTTTTCTTTGGCTTTTTCTCTCTGCTGCGATTCTAGACAGCTGTGTAATTCCTTGAAGAAGCAGAAAAGGCAGCTATGTAACAGGAAGGAAAAAGGATTAACTGCCTTTGCCATAGCAGTCACCAGCGAGATGGGGAGCCTTGGTCCCATGGTGCAGCTGCAGATGGGCTCTGTGCAGCTCAGTGGCAGCAGCTGCATTCCTCAGCATGGCAGGAGCTAGCTGGCAGCTTTCTGGTCCGTCAGTTTAAAGTTGTGAATTGATGTGTCCAGTCTCCAAATCCAGATGGATCAAATGGGAATCTCGTCTGCCCCCGAAATGAAAATATTTACAGTCTGCCTTGCATGCTTTCCATTTGAGAGCAGCCAGCGATGGGACTCGGGAAGCCCTCCTTTGGTCCAGAGTAACAGAGCAAAATCTCGTGCTAGTGGCTGACGTGCAGCAGCACTGGATCTCTGTCAGGTTTGGAAGACAGATGTTTGTATCTACACTGATGGAGCATATGCTGCAGGAGCTGGGCTGGCCTTGGACCTTCAGCTGTTGTTAAACTTCTGACTCGCAGAGCTCCATGCTGCTACCTGCCGTTACTCTGTAGCATCTGTACTGTGCAGAGTCATTTTCCTAAGTGCCTAATTATATTGCAGTTAAAAAATAAGGAGCCATGACTGCTGCTGTTGATCAAACTGCAAGAGAGAAGTTGATACGAGCATGCTGTTGTTGCTGCTTCTGTGAAGATGAAACCATCTTAAGTTCAGCAGGGAGCTGATGATACATCACTTAGCATTTAAATATCCACGGCTGCAGCTTCCAAAGGTCCTCGGGCTGCTTTCTCTGTCAGTAGCTATCTTTGCTGCTCGTATTTGTCCCAGGTCTTCCTGTGTGTCATTTGCTGCACAAACAAAGTTTTATGCATACGGAAACATGGTTCTCAAAGAAAACATTCACACTGGGGGAGTAAGTTCAGAAGTTGCTTTGAAAGACTTGCTGAGATGCTGTTAGAAAAAGGAAGACTGAGGATGGGGAATAACTCCATCCAGCTTTGTTGCTAGTCTGTCTTTCAAGAGAACTCAACATCCAAACGAGCCAGCACTACTGGAAGCTGGGCAGAGCTTATTAAAGCTGGGAGGAGAAAGTGATGACAGGAGCAGGTTTATGCACGCAGAGCTGCCAAGTGCCCTGCCAGTCTCTGTCACTCTCCTCCCCATCCAAAGGGACCCCTCCAGCTCAGGAGTCCTGTGCCAGACCTCCCCACAGCCTGGCTGGGTGTCAGGAGGTGGTGTCTGGCTGGATGTCTTGCTCGTACTGCTCACCAGGCTGCCCGAGTCCTGCTAATTGCTTTGCTGAATTAATGAATCTGTCCAAATCTTTGGCTTTGGGGTGACCCAGACCTGTCTTAAGAAGTTGTGGGCAGGTCTCTGAAAT